TATCATGGGTTACAAAAAAACAAAAAAACAAAAAATTCGATCATGGATTACCAAAAACAAAAAAAACAAAAAATTCGATCATGGATTACCAAAAAAAAATAAAAAATAAAAAATAAAAAAATAAAAAAAATAAAAATAAAAATAAAAAAATAAAAAAAATTATGTTCTTCCGTATAGGACTCGCCGATTCACTGTACGGGACTCGCCGATTCCGTACAGTGAATCGGCGAGTCACTGTGCAGAATCGTCCGGTTCTTTCTAGAACCGGACGATTCCCGTTTTTTCCACCCATTCGATCCGTTCATGGCGATTCCCGAGTTGAACCGGGCGAGTCCGATTTGACTCGACGTTTTTTTAAACACTGATCTCAACACAAGTTTTTTTTTGTATTTACCTCACAATCAAGAAATCAGCAAAATTGAGACAAAAATACCCTTACCCTATCTTTACTCAACCACTCTCTTTCTCCCTCATTCTCTCTTTCTCTCTCTGCCCTTTACCCTGTCTCTTTCGCTGCCCGCCCTCTCTCTCTACTCACTTTTTTTTGTCTCTTTCTCTCTCTGGCTGTCCTATCTCACACTCTACCCCCCTCCCCCTCAAATAATTTTAGTATCACACCCTTGATCTTAACACTTTTTTAGGGACGTACTGCGAACCCTACTTCCTAGGGTTACCTCATATTCATTCTCTTGGCACGTAACCTTTTGAACGGTTTTCAGGCCACAGTTTGTGGCCTAGGCCCAACTTTTGGAGTCGGGCCAATGCGAGCGCTACTTACAAGTCTTGAACTAAGTACGAGGCACGCGTGACCCTCTTTTACTAAAGGACTACCAAACTCTTATGGTCCCCACATATTGCCATGGGGGACCTCTCTTTATTTAACCCAAATTCATTGCATAACCTACACACTCAGTTGTAGTTTCATGGAACCTCTCTGCATGAAATCATTTACTTAATGGGAAATGATTTAATGCAATGGTTGTATAGTAGTATAATGTAATTATATTTTTAAAAAATTATATTTTTTGGCATTCGTATGATCCCAAAATTTGCACACAAATTCTCTTCATCCTCATAATCAATCTTACGAAGAAAAAAAATTCAATTTGCACCTTAGATATGGTCAAAATTAGTACCCATCCAACAATGAATCTCGATCATCCATTTGGTGAATTTGATCTAGGTCTAAACAAATTCAAAATCACTTATTTTTCTTTTTTAGCATTATTAATCTAATGATGATAACACCATATTAAAATTTTGAGAATAAAAAAATCCTTTTGAGGCCTATATCTAACCATTTCAATAAAATGAACGATTTATATTAATTGGGCTAGAATGAAAACTTTCTAGAATAGTTTTTTCCAAATTTTCTTTTTTATGATTGTTCTTCAGAATGAAAAGAGTGTACATTTAACATGTCAAACAAATGTCTCTATGGTTTTTAAAAATTCAAACAAATGTCTCTAACATGGTTTTTGAAGATGGTTGCATTATACTACTATACAACCGTTGCATATCATTTATTTAACCGAAATTCATTGCATAACTGACACACTCAATTGTAGTTGGATGCAAGCTGGCCCGCATTTCTACGTATGAAGTGTAAGCATCCATCTTAAAGATGGATGCAAGTAAGTGTTCCATCTAAAAACAACCTAAACTAACAATCCATATGATTTCTTACCATATGATTATTATTTTTAATTTTTTAAATTTCTTTATTCTTTTATATTCATGATCTCCATGTTAGAGATTACATGTCGTTAAAAACTAAGTCTTAAAAATCTATCTCAAAAATAGATTTATTAAGAGGCCATAACCGACACACTCCGTTGTAGTTTGATGCAGGTTGGACTGCATTTCTACATGTGAAGTGTAAAGCATCCATCTTAAAGATGGATGCAAGTAAGTTTTCCATCTAAAAACAATGAAAACTAACTGTCCAAATGATTTCTTACTATATGATTATT